CGTGCCGCCGCCGCCGCGCTGCCCCCCGGGCACGGCGGCGGCGGCAGCAAGCTTGGGCCCAAACGCCGTGCCGCCGAGTCCCGTGGCTGCGACCGTAGACCGTGGGCCGGAAACTGCGGCCGCAGCTCGGCGGCACGTGGTTCTGGTCAAATCGCCAAGCGTGCAGCAGCGCCGAACCACGCTTCCCGGCCTCGGCGCATGCCTTCAGGGGCCCCCTATCGCTGGGCACACCCCTCCAACACCGAACATGCGCCCGGGGGGGAGGGCGGCCCGGGCGGCCCAGGCCAAAGTGGGCCGCCCTCGAGCAAGAGGCGGCCGGGCTGTGTGCTGAATGAATGAATGAATGAATGCACCACCACCCCACAATCAATCGCGCACCCCCCCCCTCACCGGACCCAGCCCCCACCCCCGCAGGTGCACTTTGAGGTGGGTGAGGAGTTCCGGGTGGAGGACCTGCTGCGCCTGCAGCTGCACAAGTACGCCGAGGATGTGGCGGAGATTGTGGACCGGGCGCAGAAGGAGGAGAAGATGGAGACGGTGGGTGGGCGGGGTGGTGGGAGCCAGTAGCGGCAGCTGCAGCTGCAGCATCCCCAGCGCACAGCGCAGGGCACAGCGCGGCTGCTTCAGACTGCCGCTGGCCTCCGCTGCTCGCTGTCCGCCCCCCTCACCTCTCGCCTGCCTCCTTCCTGCCGTGGGTCCCGCCCCTCTCTCTCCCGTTCCTGCCGCAGGCGCTGGCCAAGCTGCAGGACACCTGGTCCAAGGTGTGCTTCGTGTTCCAGCCCCACCGCGGCAGCTCCGAGGTGTCCACCGTGAAGATGGCTGAGGACGACTTTGCGGCGCTGGAGGACAACCAAGTGCTGGTGCAGGCAAGCGCCAGGAGTAACCCGCCGCTGCTGCGCCTCATCAGCAACCCAGCCCAGCCTTCACCTGTTGCCATACTACGCCTCTACTCGTGGTGCGTCGGCCCTGGCAAGCAGTGTATTTGACCGGCACGATCGCCCCTGCTCCCGCCTACGCCCCTTCCCGCAGGGCATGATGGCCAGCCGCTTTGTGGCCACCTTCCGCGACGATGTGCTGGCCTGGAACAAGAAGCTGAACGCGGTGGCGGATGTGGTGCAGCTGATGGCTGAGATCCAGCGCTCCTGGGCATGTGAGACGCTTCAGGGGGGGACACGCGTGCAGGGACCGGACTCGCCCCGTGGCACCGGGCGGGCAGCCCTGCTGTGCGGGACCGTCCCTTGTGCCACACCAGGTCTGGCTCCCACTTTTGGCTCAACGCCCTGGCCCGCCCCTGGCTCCCCGCTGCCCTCCCCGTTCAGACCTGGAGTCGCTGTTCATCCAGTCTGAGGAGGTGCGCCGGGAGCTGCCAGAGGCCACGCAGCGGTTTGCGGGCATCGACGCCGCGGTGCGGGCGGTGCTGCTGGACATGGTGGTGGCCAAGAACTGCGTGGCGTGCTGCACCAAGGAGGGGCTGCTCAGGCACCTGGAGGCGCAGCAGGGGGAGCTGGAGCTGTGTGAGAAGGTGGGGGCAGGGCACCCGGCAGGGGCGGGGGGTGCATGGCTGCGTGCGTGGTTCGCAGTGGCGGCAAGTGTGAGGGAGAGCTCCATGTTGCCAGGTACCCTGGCTGCTGGGGTGCAACATCCCCTACTCCGTCCAGCAAGCTGCCTGCGAGGTCAGCACCAAAGGTAGTATGCTGCTGTTATTGGGACCTGGGGTGCAGGCGCTGGCGGACTTCATGGAGAGCAAGCGCCGCGCCTTCCCCCGCTTCTACTTTGTCTCCTCATCAGACCTGCTGGAGATTTTGTCGGTGAGGCTGGGCAGGAGGTGGCTGTGGCGCAGTGCATTGGCATATGAAGCAATTGCACAGCGTGACGGGGAGATTGCACCTCTCGGACATTGTTGCGGCCACGCAATGCTGCTGCCACTGCTGCTTGCCCCGCCCTGCCCCTCCAGAACGGCAACAAGCCCGCAAGCATCATGCCCCACATGGCCAAGATCTTCCAGGCGGGCTGCAAGCTGCCTGCAGGGGGGCCAGACACTGAGCAGCAGCCTACCCTAACCCACCCACCTTTCTTCCTGGTTCTGGTTCTGCCACGCCTGCCTCATTCCCGCCTGCAACCACCTCGCCTGCCGCAGGCCATCAACGCGCTGCGGCTGGACACAGACAAGCCCGCTGCGGGGGTGCGGCCCAAGGCGCTTGGCATGGAGTCGTGCGTGGGCGTTGAGTACGTGGCTTTCCAGACCCCGCTGGCGCTGGAGGGCAAGGTGGGTGCGGCTGGGGGAGGGCTGGGGCAGGGCCCCCTGGTGGAGGGCAGGGTGGGTGAGTTGATGCAACGGGGTCTGTCAACTGCTGCAGTCTCAGCATCTGACCTGAGCTGCTCCGGGCAGCACAGCCTGACCCCGCTGTGTCCCCTATGCCCCCCTGCCCGAGGGTGCTGCAGGTGGAGGCCTACATGGGGCGGGTGGTGGACAAGATGCGGGCCGAGCTGCGGGCGGTCATGGGCGACAGCGTGCGCGACTACCCCGCCAAGCCGAGGGAGAAGTGGATGTTCGACTGGCCCAGCCAGGTCGCCCTGGTGAGTGCCGGTGGTGGGATCTTGCTGGTCTCGCGGGGGCAGCGAGGGATGGAAGATGGGGAGTCGACCAGGCACATCGGTGTTGTTTGAGTGCAAGTCACTTACATGGTTGTTGCTGCCGCGTCCTCTTGCAGATGGTCAACCAGATGTACTGGTGCCAAGAGGTGGAGGAGGCGTTTGGCCAGCTGGCAGGCGGCAACAAGAATGCCATGAAGGTGAGGCTGGCGCTGCCGTGCACGCAATGCCTGATGCAGGTCGCAGGCCCCATCTGCTGTTGAGCAGACGAGTCATGGGTGTGCTGCTGTCATGCCACCTGCTGCAGGCTTACAATGAGCGCCAGGTGGCGCAGCTGACACGGCTGATTGAGATCACCTGCACTGAGCTCAGCAAAGCTGACCGGCAAAAGGTGAGGAGGGGCTGGGCTTCGTGGCCTGCGTGCCTGCGTGTACCCTGCTGCTCGCTTGCCGCTGGCAGCTGCTATACAGTCGTGCCTACCACGGCATCCATGCTACACCCTACGCTACCGCCGCCACCTGCAGGTGATGAACCACATCACCATTGATGCCCACAGCCGCGACGTGGTGCAGCACATCGTGGAGACGGGGGCCGCCGACCGCGACTGCTTCGCCTGGCAGTCGCAGCTGCGCACCTACTGGGACAGGTGCGAGCGACTATGGGGAGGCAAGGTGCTGGCTCGGTGGTTGGAGGGCATGGGATGGGGCCATCGCTGCGCTGCCGCAAACTGACCCGCCCACGCCTTACCCCGCCTCACGCTCGCCGCTCCGTTGGATCGTTCTTCTCCTCGGCAGCTCCATCGGCGACTGCCGCGTGCGCATCTGCGACGCCTCCTTCCCCTATGGCCACGAGTATCTGGGCAACGGCCCCCGCCTGGTCATCACCCCCCTGACCGACCGCATCTATGTCACCGCCACCCAGGCCATGTGGCTGTCGCTGGGCACCGCGCCCGCGGGGCCCGCCGGCACCGGCAAGACAGAGACGACCAAGGACCTGGCGGCGCAGCTGGGTCTGGCCTGCTACGTGTTCAATTGCGCGCCCGAGGTGGGGGGCGGTGAGGGTGCGGGTAGGAGCTGGCGCAGGGCTGGATGAGGCACATGTGGCGAGGTGGCAGCGCCCTGTCGGCACCCCGCTGTTGTATACAGCACCCCGCCTGCCTTTTTCGCTCTATCGACCGCCGCAGATGGACTACCACACGCTGGGCAACATCTTCAAGGGCCTCGCAGCGTCGGGCTCCATCGGATGTAAGCGGAGGCAGTGCATGAGCCTGTTGATGCAGGCTGCCACAGTTAGCTGCAGCTGTTTGCTGCCAACCCAACCTGCTGCTTGAGCCCAGCCCTGACTCCAACCGCTGTGCTGTTGCCCTCCCTTCCTGTATACAGGCATGGACGAGTTCAACAGGCAAGCTGCAGACTACCTCTTCCACCCCTGCCGCCGCCTCGCCACTTGTCATAGCGGTCACCTCGTGCCGCCTTGTACCGCTGGCCCATGTTGCCTAGTGCTGCGGCCCCTCCACCTGCAGGCTGGTGCCGGAGGTGCTGTCGGTGTGCTCGGTGCAGTACAAGTGCGTCACCGATGCGCAGCGACGCAAGGCGGCGCTGCCGGGGCGTGGCCTGGAGTATGTGGACGCCCAGGGCGTCAAGCACCCGGCGGTGCAGGGCTTCACCTTTGTGGCGGCCGACGGCGTGGAGATGCCCCTGGAGGTGGGAGGGAGGCGCCGGAGGGGAGAGGATGCGGGCTGTGCAGGAATACCAGCAGGGAGCTGGGCGGTGCTGTAGCAGGCAGGCAGCATATCAACAGCGCCTGCCCGCCGCTGCGGCCTGCGTGCTGCCGTGCAGGAGGGCACCAGCGTCTTCATCACCATGAACCCGGGCTACATCGGCCGTGCCGAACTGCCAGAGTCGCTCAAGGTGCGCATTGTTGACGAGCCCTTGCACCTTGCGTGGCCCTGCTACTGAGCAGCAGAGTGCAGCCAACTGGGCGCAGTGGGCCTCACCCACCATCACCGCAGCTGTACAACCGCAACACTTTTCCTTGACCGCAGGCCCTGTTCCGACCCATCACTGTGGTGGTGCCTGACCGCCAGCTCATCATGGAGAACATGCTGATGGCAGAGGGCTTTGTGACGGGTGCGCCCCCGCCCCCCCTTTGAGACTGAATTTAAGACTGGAGCAGGGGCAGCAGAAGCTGGAAATTGAAGCAAGCAGGCCCGCCACATTGCTTGCCTCCGTGTCTCTGCCTGCCTCGGCCCTACTGCCAGCCTGCTTGCATGACCGCCCGCCTCCCTGCCTGCCTGCTGACCGCAGCCAAGGCGCTGGCCAAGAAGTTTGCGGCGCTCTACTACCTGCTGGAGGACCTGCTGTCGCCGCAGAAGCACTACGACTGTGAGTGGCCTGTGCTTGGGGCTGGACCCGCACCCAGGCACGGCTTGTTTGCTGTCAATAAAGTGTTGCACGCTGATGGCAATGCAATGCCGCCGCCCCTTGCTTGGCCCACCCGTTGTATCACCTCCCTGCTGCAGGGGGCCTGCGTGCCATCAAGAGCGTGCTGGTGGTGGCGGGCGGCCTGCTGCGCAGCCAGGCGGGGCAGGACGAGACTGACGTGCTGTTCCGCGCGCTGCGGTGAGCTGCCCTGCACAAGGCAATTGCTGTTCATGCTATGGCAGGTTGAGGATCGACTTGCTCTGCATCGGCTCCCTTCCTTCCACCCGTGCCCGCTCATCTCCCGCGCCCGCAGCGACTTCAACTTGCCCAAGATCCTGGCCCAGGACCTGGTGGTGTTCAACGGCCTGCTGGCAGACATCTTCCCGCAGGTCGGCTGGGGCACTTGCAGGCTCGCTGGGTGTCTTGCCTTTCTTCGGTTAGATATCTGCAGCCGGCTTGCCGGAAACCTTGCCCAGGCCGACCCCGGTGATCCTTGTGTGTCTTGCCGCCTGCCTGCAGACCAACCCTCCCCGCCAGCGCGACCCCGGCTTTGAGGCGGTCGTCAAACAGACAGCGCGGGAGCTGGGGCTGGAGCCGGACGAGGAGTTTGTGCACAACGTGGTGGCCTTAAGGTGGGCTTGTCCATGTCCCAGGGGCAGCAGAGTGGTGCAGGGGAGGCGCAGGCTCATGCTAAGAGTCAATTACAGCACGGTCCAGGTGGCACAGCGCTGAGAGCATCCCGCCGCACGCCAAAATCCACCCCTTCTTTGCAACTGCTACCCACAGCGAGCTGCTGGCCATCCGGCACTGCGTCTTCCTGATGGGCCCCACCGGCTGCGGCCGCTCCGAGGTCATCCGCGTGCTGGCCAAGGCCATCTCCGCGGGCTGCGACGCCCCCTCCAACCCCTACCTGCAAGCCAACAACAGGAAGAAGGTGCCGAGGCCCTGTTCTGCACATGCGCACAAAGCCCTTCACGTGAGCACACTGTTTATCCCGCATCGGCGCTGCCCCCCGCCTGCCCCTGCGCACCCTTCCCCCTGCAGGTGGTTGTGCGTGACTTGAACCCCAAGAGCATAAGCACCCAGGAGCTATATGGCTACGTCAACATGGCCACCCGCGAGTGGAAGGACGGCCTGCTGTCGTGCACGCTGCGCGAGCTGGCAAACGTGCCCGACGACAACCCCAAATGGATCGTGCTGGACGGAGACCTGGGTGCGCAGGGCTGGTGGGGTGGGGAAGGAGTCTCCTATAGTCTCGTAGCCAACAAGCACAGGCTGGCACTCGGCTGAATCTATGGGCTGCAGCTGGGGAACAGGCAAAGGCACATGTCTTTCTCATTGCACCCTGCAACGTGCCGGCCATCCCCTGCAGATGCCAACTGGATTGAGAGCGCCAACAGCCTGATGGATGACAACAAGCTGCTCACGCTGCCCTCCAACGAGCGCATCCGCCTGCTGCCGCACATGAAGGTGGGGCTGGGGGCAAGTCTGTGCTGGCAGCTGCGCTGGTGGCTGCCTGGCTCCCTTCTTCAGTGAAGCAGCCAACATGACCGATTTGCCGAACACACTCTGGCTTCAAGACTTTCTTGAGCAGTCTGACACCTTATCATGTGCCCTTGCAGCTGATCTTTGAGATTCGCGACCTGCGGTACGCCACCCCCGCCACCGCCACCCGCGCCGGCATCCTGTACATCAGCGAGGGCCGGCAGTGGTCGAGCCTGGTGGAGTCGTGGTTGCGCCGTGTGTCCAGGTGGGGCTGGTGGCAGTTAGCATCAGGCAGGCGTGAAGCTATGTGCTAGGGCTGTCCGCAGAGTGCGGGGTTGGGTGCGGTCAGGGAGCATGCCAGGACACCCAGATACCCCCTGGCTTGAGAGCGCTCGCTACTCTCCCATTGCCTAACCTGCCTGCGCCCGCATCGCAGGGCATATGCCGAGAAGGCCAAGTGGGGCGATGCAGAGGTGCCCCTGCGCTGGCTGCAGGAGCTGTTTGGCAAGTACGTGCCGCCCACCGCCTTTGAGATGCGCAAGAGCTTCTCCCATGTCGTGCCGCTGGGCACCATGAACTTTGTGGGCACGCTGTGCAGCATACTGGAGGTGAGGCGGGGCTGGTGGCAGGGAGGTGGGGGGCGCTGGGCTCCAATCAGCGTTGATACTGGCTGATCCTCCCCCATGCCCATGCGTGCCGAGTGTCTAACATCTCTAATCATTCTGTGCTGCCTTGCCTCCTGCCACTGCCCTGCCCCCAGGGCCTGCTGCGCCCCGAGAACCTGCCCGCCAAGGCGGAGCAGCCGCTGTTCGAGATGGCCTTCGTGTTTGCCTGCGTGTGGGCCTTTGGCGGCGCGCTGTGCGAGAAGGATGGCATCAAGTACCGGCAGGCCTTTGACAAGTGGTGGAAGGTGGGCATGCACTTGGAGTGGAGCGGGCAGCAGCAGTGCCAGGAACAGCGCCAAGCCTCAGGAGGCAGCGAGATGAAGGGGTGATGATGCCACATGTAGGGCGCTCGCTCTCCCCTATTCATCTGATCCAATCCCGCCCCGCCTGCACTGCCCTGTACCTCGTCACAGGCCACCTGGACTGCGGTGCGCTTCCCCCAGAAGGGCACCGTCTATGACTACTATCCTAACTTCAAGTCAGCCAAGTTTTCGCCCTGGTGAGACCTTGCACTGATAGGGCAGGCAACAAGCCTGACGGCGCAATGGCGGGCCAGGGCCCCAGCCCGGCAGGAGTGGTGCTCCCCAGGGGCCCAGGAGTGGCCACCGCACCCAGTGTGCATGGCTGTGCTTGGCTCCAACCGGTGCGCGCTGCAGGGCTGACCTGGTGCAGCCTGTGGAGTACGACGGCTCGGTGCCGATGTCGCAGGTAGGAGTGGTAGGCCGCACACCCCGCAGTGCACACAGCATCCCCTTGCTGCATGCCTCGGGGTGAACCCTCCCCTCCAGCGCTGCCCTCCACGCCCAGTGCCCTGTGCTGTGTGCCTCCGCCACGCAGGTGTTTGTGCCCACCCCCGAGACCGTGTCCCTGCGCTTCTTCCTGGACATGATGCTGTCCCTGCGCAAGCCCATCATGTTTGTGGGCGGCAGCGGCGTGGTGAGTGGCGGAAGGCCGCGGGCCTGGGGCCGGTGTTGAGCGCTGCTGGCCGCGGTTCCAGAGGTGCCATGCATGCGCGCCCAGCCAGCCTCCCGGTGGGTCACGTTGTGCAGGGCAAGACGCAGCTGGTCAAGGGCAAGCTGCAAGCGCTGGGTGAGGACCAGTCGGCTCTGTCCATCAGCATGAACTACTTCACCGACGTGGCCTCCTTCCAAAAGGTGAGGCAGCGGGGCGGCGCAGGCACGGCCGGCGCCAGCACAGCTCCACCTGTGCGCTGCTGGTGCTCGGCATCAGTACCGCTTCTGGGAGCTCAGCGCGACGGGCTGGTCGGGCCCCAGCCCCGGATTATTTCCCCCACCATTCTGCTGTCAAGCCCTCCGCTCGGCCCGCCGGCCCTGGCCGCTCCCTGCCCCCTCCCTGCAGATCCTGGAGTCCCAGCTGGAGAAGAAGGCGGGCGCCAACTACGCGCCCCCCGCCAACCGCCAGCAGATCTACTTTGTGGACGACCTCAACATGCCCCGCCTGGACGCCTACGAAACCGCCATGCCCATCTCCCTCATGCGCCAGCACCTGGGCTACGGCCACTGGTACGACAGGGCCAAGCTGACGCTCAAGGCGGTGTCGGGCACGCAGTAAGTGGGGATGGGCGGGGGTGGGAGCTGACGCTCAAGGCGGTGCAACGCCCGGGAAGGCAGGCAACGGAGGGTGTGCTGCCACCGGGCTGAGAGCCCCCAGTCGTGTAGCTGCAACACATGCCTCTGCCTCCCCAACTGACTGTCTGACTTGCCCATGCTGACGCCCTGCCTTCTTGACCCCTCCCTCCCTCCCTGACCCCTCCCAACCCCCGCAGGTACGTGGCGTGCATGAACCCCACCGCTGGCTCCTTTGTCGTCGACCCCCGCCTCCAGCGCCTGTTTGTCACGCTGGCGGTGGAGACGCCCGGCGTGGACTCGCTCATGATGATCTACGGCTCTTTCCTGCACGGTGGGCGGCTGCGGGCGGCTTGCCTCCAGCCCGCCTGTGCTGGCATATGCGAGGGGGCAGGCTGCTGTGCACCACACCTGGGTGGCTGTGGCTGCTGAGATCCCGGCTGCCGCGGCCCGCCTCCAGCCCGCCTGTCACCTCCACCTTGCCCTCTGCCCTGCAGGCCACCTCAAGAAGTTCTCGCAGGACGTGCAGGAGCTGGGCAACAAGCTGCTGCAGGCGGCGCTGGCGCTGCACGAGAAGGTGGTGTCCACCTTCCGCAAGACCGCGGTCAACTTCCACTACGAGTGAGGGAGCGGCTGGCACGACCTGGCGGCAAATGCGTCCATCCAGCCGAATCGGGGGGCCTGGGCTGGGCTGGGCTGCTGGCCAGCGTTGCAGGCCTGCTGCCTGTTGCTCCGCCAAGTGTGCCAGCCCAGGCCCCCTTGAGCCTGGATCCTCCTCTCCTGGCGCGTTCGCCTGCAGGTTCACCGTGCGCCACCTGGCCCAGATCTTCCAGGGCCTGATGATGAGCACGCCCGACAAGTACAACAGCGACCCCTCCAAGCTCATCCGCCTGTGGCTGCACGAGAGCGAGCGCACCTGTGAGTGGAGCGGTGGCGGGGCTGGGGCCGGGCACATTAGTGGCACATCGCGTTGCAGCCGGCGCGCACCCAGCATTGGTGCCTCATCACCTGACCAGCCCAGCAACACCCGCAAGCGCGCGCAACCCCAGTGCAGATGCTGACCGGCTGGTGAGCGCCGCCGACCTCGCCCAATTTGGCAAGCTGGTTGTGGCGGTGGCCAAGAAGTACTTCAGCCTGCCAGGTGGGCACACACGACAGCCGCGCTTTTTAAACCTGATGCGCCCCCACACAATATTAGGTGCTGCGTGAGCTGAGACAGCTGATCGGCCCAGGTGCCTCCCCGCCTCCCGGTTGTGCGTCCTGCCTTCAGACATTGACGACTACTACCGCGCCAAGGACCCCAAGCCGCTCGTCTTCTGCCACTTTGCCGCGGGCCACGGCGGCGATGCATGCTATAATGAGGTCGTCGATGCTGCGGGCTGGAAGCGGCTGCAGCGCACGCTGGCAGAGGGGCTGGCCGAGTACAATGAGACGAATGCGGGTGGGCGGGATGGGGGTTGGTGGTGATGGGGTGCTGTGAAAGGCCAAAGTGGATGGTGGGAGGGAGGCCAGGATGGGCAATGGCCGCTGGCTGGCCATGCATGGCGGGGCAGGGGTGTGTGGAGGCTGCTGCTCACCGGAAGATCGGTTCCAGTTTAGGAGGTACCACTCTGCTGCTGCGCTCAGCTCTGCTGCACCTCTCGCATTGCCCCACGACATCGACTTCTGCGCAGCCGTCCTCGATGCACCCCGTCCCACCAATGAACGGGCAGCCTACCCGTCTGCCGTTCTGCACCTCTGGCCCCTTTCTAGCACCTCAATCTCCTTCCCTTTGCACCCATGTCCCACCTTCCCCCTGCCCTCTCCCCCTCCCTCCAGTCATGGACCTGGTGCTGTTTGATGACGCCATCAGGCACGTGTGCCGTATCTCCCGCATCATCAGCAGCCCCGGCGGCCACGCGCTGCTGGTGGGGGTGGGCGGGTCGGGCAAGCAGAGCCTGGCGCGGCTGGCGGCCCACATGTGCGGCTACACGTGCGACACCATCATCATATCGGGGACATACACGCTGGCCAGCTTCAGGGAGGACCTGGTCCGCATGTACAAGCGGGCGGGGCTCAAGGTGGGTTCAGGGCGTAGGGGCCACTTCATCACACACCTGGTCGGTTGCTGTCTGCGAGCGGCGACGTGTGAGGCTGCCCGCTGCGCCCGCTGCTCTCCCCGCTGCAGGACGAGGGCGTGCTGTTCCTGCTCACCGACTCCCAGATCGTGGATGAGAAGATGGTGGGTGGCGCGCACCATGCTCCTCCCCGCTTGCTGTAGCCCCTGATGCAGAGGCCTATGCTTTCAGCCACCACCTTCCATCCATTTCAATCGCAAGCCCAGCGCATCGCCACCACGCACCCACCCTTGCCGCGCCTCCCTCCCTTGCCGGCCCTCCCCCCCCCCCCCCCGTGCAACTGGGGTATGTGAATGACCTGGTGTCCAGCGGCGACATCCCCCACCTGTTTGCCCCCCAGGACCGAAAGGACGTCATCCCAACCCTGCGCAACGAGGTCAAGGGGCGCGGCCTGGCAAAAACCAACGAAAACTGGTGGGGCGTCTTCATCCAACGGGGGAGGGGGTGGGCTGGGTGTGGGAAAGGCCCCCGGGTGGGGTGGGGGGGTGGGCCGGAAGCTGCTGCTGCTCCCAACACCACCTGGTGTCCTTTTTTCCCTGATTTCGGCA